ACCCCACAAGCCTCCATGTGGAGGGAGTGAGGAGACGCCCAGTCTTCATTCAGCCCGACATGAGAGATGTTTGAAAACACAGAAAACAATGCCATCCTTTAGAGAAAAAAAAAGACTGTTCATTCAAAATCTGCCACTGATACGTAATGAATTTATTTTCAGATAAAATTCTTGTTTTACAGTTTTCTCCATTTCCATGTCTAACATGGTAAATACTGGCGGTATATGCTACATCAACAAAAGCTCTTTGGGGTCCTCAGTGAGTTTTAGGAGCGCAAAGGGATCCTGAGACCAAAACGCCTGAGAACGGCTCTGAGACCCCAAGTCCTTGAGCAGGGATCTTACCAGGCCCCCTCCAGGGTTCCCCAGCGCGAACATCCACTCACTCGTGCAGCAAACAGTTTTGCCAAATGTTTACAGAGCACCTACTATGTACCAGGCACTGCTTAAGTGCTGAGAAGGAGGAGGGGAAGTCAAAAAGGATTGTTATGAAATCATAGACACCTTCACTAAACAATATCAAAGTGGAAAGCGGTTGTTTCTCCACACAGCCTTCATCTGTGTAAAGGTGGGCGGGGCAGGGGGGTGGGGAGCCCATCTCATCTAACTCTTTCCCGAAGAATTCGCCAGTTGGATGGACACCACGTCCAAACAGCAGTTTTGGCATCCCGGAGGGACTCAGACCGTGTTCCTTTGAAATGTTCTTTGGAGTTTAGGGGACAACAAGAAGCCTGAAGGGGCAAGATAAGGGCTGCCTGGTGGATGAGGGAAGGTAGCCTCCCCTACCCTCGAAGAATGAGCGTTGCTGTGATGGAGAAAACAATTCCTCAGAGCAATTTTTCTGGCATTTCCCCCCATCTATGAAGTTTGCCATTTTCTTTAAAATTCCCTAAGAAGTCCCTGGGATGCTGCTTCAGGAAGACCTAGCAAGATATCCCAAATAAACAGTCACGTGGTTACGAATCGGGCTGTGAACCTTAAGGTCAGCGGTTTGAAACTACCAGCTGCTCCGCGGGAGAAAGATGAGGCTTTCTGCTCCCATAAAGATTTACACCCTCGGAAACCCTGTACAGGGTCGCTATGGGTCGGACCCGACTCAATGGCACTTAACAACAACAACAACACCATAACCTTCTGAGCTGACGTCTCTGCCTTGAATTCAACTGGCCCACAAGATCCTCTGGGCAGCCACTGTTCTGATTGGTCCTTTTTTTTTTTTTTTTTTTTTTAAGGCACCTTCAGGAGACTAAGCCAAGTGTCTGACTGAGGGAACTTGTGTGTGTGTGTGTGTGTGTGAATATCAATCCTTTTTAACTTACCCTCTGGTAGCTGTGGACAAGACAAGCAAATGAGACCTGCCTCCTTTATTGCTGTGTGGTCTCCTGGCAGTGCTGAGGGAGGCATTAACCACGTACAAGGCTTCAGTCAGTTCACATACAAAGTAAAAACACCACGCTGGACTCCATGGGTAGCTAGAACGCCATACAAAAGGCTACCGTCTTTAACACATACCAAGCTCATACCAATGTGCATCTGACCCCAGCAGAGACGAGCAAGGGACAGTGACCATCCACCAAATAGGAAAGATCACTGCTTAACACAAGGTAATCAGCCTTGCTAGCCATCACAGGCTAACCGGAGAAATTTCTGGTTTTCAGACCCAATCAGAGTCTACAGCCATCAGACCCAGTCCTGGCCAGACGGTGAAACTTGACATCCACCCCTGCTGGTTGTGAAATGCCCTGAACTCAGTTCTGACGCATAGTGACCTCACATAGGGTTTCTGAGGAGTGACTGGTGGGTTTGAACCACCAACCTTGCAGTTAGTAGTCCAAACCGGGATTCCTCCTTGCTGGTGGCAGTGGATACGATATGCAATCAGTTTCAGGGGTTTGTTGTTAAGTGGCAAGTCAGTTCTGACTCACAGCGATCCTGCATAGGGTTGCCAAGGAGCAGCTGGTGTGTGTGAGACACCAAGCCTGTGGTGAGCAGACCAGTGCTTATCCTAGGGGTTTGGGCACTCTTCAACTCAACAATGCCACTCTGGGAATCTAACCTAAGGACCCTGACCTCGGACAAGAGCTTTCTGCAGTCTGTCCAGTTACTGCTGGGAGAGTACTCAGCCACTTCGAAACAAAATCCATCACCACCAGGGGAAAGGCTACCCAGACTGACAGAATGCCCTAACACAACTGATAAAAACGAAAGGCAAAAAATGACTGGAGGGGGCAGGCAGCAATCTGGAAGGAGACACCAAAATGTTCCTTTTGGCCTTTTCTCTACTTTTCCAGAATTTCTGCACTGCGTGGCCTTGTACACAAAAGGTGGGGGCGATGGTCACGGGAGGAGCTGCGCTGTCTCCCCACCAGCCCACACCTTGGCAGGGGCCTGAGATGACACTGTGGGAGACTCGGTTCCATCTACTCCCTAACCCTCCCTCTCCTCCCCCACTGCTAAGTATTTTCAGTTTGGTCGAGTGTGTTCTCTTCCTTTCCTGGGAGTACCCATATTGGGTCTCCGTCCCTAAGTCTGTAAACAGATGCTTCCCTTATAGCTCTGGGTGCAAACCAGAGGGGCTTCTACGAGGGAAATCCCTTCCGACCTCACCTCTCTCCACTAAAACCCCACCCCCAGGAGGTGTCCTCAAAATCAGTCTTCTGATACAATCAGACATTCCCACTTCTCCAGGCCCCACTGTCAGGAGGGTGGTCACTGGGGGTGCTTCTGTGCCCCGACATGCATCAGGAAAGTCAGGTGCTTTCCACCCGTTGTCCTTGACACCACGTACGTACTCAGCTGGGACCACAGAGATGGGTCTTGGTTGTCTCCAGTGGTCATGACCTGCTTTGGGGCATTCAGTAAATTTCAGGATTAGAGACCCTCCAGTATTCCAAATCCTATCTCGGATCAGTCCTGGGAGACCACAAGTTTCCTTTACCAGGTGGGGAGTTGCCTCAAACAAAAGACATCACCATAGACCAAACATTACATCACCATCATGGAAGCCCCCAGAACTTGCCCTTACTTGCACTGGATAACAGTACTTAGCCATTTGTCTCCCCCATCAATCAACACCTGTCCTCTTAAATATAGAGAAATGATAACCTCCAGAATCTGTACATAGCATCTCCCCAGCCAAGGGCATCTTCAGCGTGAGGATACTACAGCAGTAGCTCTCTGGGGCTGCCTGGAGTCCTCCTCGGTACCTCCAGTGCACATTTCTCTCAAGTCCAGCATGCAAAGCCACCTGACCCTCTGTCACTTGCTCCATTTCCCAAAGTTGCAGAAAGTCATCAAGAAGGTCACACAGCTTCCAGCCCAGTCCACACTCATTTGTACACTGAAGCCACCACACCCTGGGTTTGGCTTGGGTACCAGCAACCACTGCAGTGGGGCTCGGCTCCACGTGCAAACATACTGGCACTTTCTGAGCAAACCCCACAGCAGAGGTCCTGCTCTAACTAGACAGGGCCACCCTCCCCTCCATTCCAGAGCACCCCGAGCTCTACACACATAACTGCTGGGGAGCAGTGAGCTGCGTCACACCACGGTGGCTGCATGGTGCGTCCTTTCTACACTCAAGCTTAATGAGCACGGTGGCCCCAGGTGAAGAGCCCCGGCTGCCGTCTGGGAGCCTGAAAGCCCAGCTCGAGCACTTGTTCAGCAGGGTGACTGAGCTAACCCAATTCATGAGGAGAGGGTGGCCTGGTCCCTGCACCCCAGAACCCTTGACCTGGCCAGGCAGTGGTCGCTTCAGGATTACAGTCCGCCTCCCGAGTGTCAACATTACTCTTCAGCAAAGAGAATGGGCCCTAGGACCCAACCTCGGGGTATCCCCAGACACGCGTCTCTGGGCAGTCTGGGTCAGGGGCAGATGAAGTCTGGCAAAGACACTCACCTCCCCACAGGGCTGGGTTCATTTGGCATTGAAATATACCAGGCACCCTAGCAGAAAGGGCCTGGCCAAGTGGTCTTTAGGGGGTGACTCCCGGGTCACCCCCTCAGGAGGAAGCACACACAGCCCACCACTAAGAGGGGTAGCAGAATTGCCAACACAGCGCAAAATGATCAGCTGCTCTTTTCCTGGACAAATGCCACCGAGGCCCTGGCTGGGCCTGTCAGCAGCACAGTCTCCTTATACAAAGGTCAGGCCCTGGACGGTCGAGCAGGGAGAGGCTGGGCTGCAAAGGCCGCTGGGAAGGGCTCTGATCTCTGGAATGAAGAAAATGGATCTCAAGTGACATGGGACGAACCCTAAGCAGCTTGTGACCATTTCCAAGGGCGGTGAAGTGTGGACCACCCATTTCTTGCACAGTTGGCCTGAGTCTTGGATGGGGACACACAAGTCTGTTGGATAGAAATCCCTCCCCCTGACAGTGGTTCAAAGTCCACAATGGCCTTCGGAGGCCGGCAAGTCCTGAAGCTAAGTGGACTCAGCCAGGCCCAGCCCTGGACGACCAGGGTCCTCCTCCTTTTTACTGCACTGTTAGGTTTTTCTGGGTGGCAAGAGGGACTGGGCATACTAGCCCGTGTACTTCTGAGAAGCGAAGCCTGCCCCCTAGAAATGCTAGCACCACACATCTGGCAGAAGCCAGACACCCCTCCTCCCCAGGTACACAAAAAGGAGCTCCAGAGCTCCCCAGAATAAAGGGGGCACCTGGGTGAGGAGCTGTCCCAGGGGCCTCTGTGAACAGGCTAAGAGGTGAGCCCCCAGGGTTACTAAACATGTTGGGGCGTGGGGATGCGGGGGTGAAATTCATTAGAATTTCTGCGGTTGCAAGCAAAAGAGAAAAGCATGCACTGAGCCTAGGTACTGAGCCAGCACGGGAACTGAGGAGCACGGTGAGGTGGGCGCAAAGGCGCCCACAAGTGATGGAGGATGGAGAAGAAGGGAGCGATGTCTTCAACCAAGGGGGAGGCTGTCAGACAGGCATTTTGTCTGCGCAGTGACGGGCGTGTGCTACCTGGCAGCAGCAGATACGAGCCGGGGTGGAGGGTTCTTAAAGGTTCCGAGCACGGGTGGGCAGTGCCGGCGCAGGGTTAGTCCCATTAGAGGCGGGATGCACCGGGCAGGGCCCTGTGCCCGTCGAGGAGGCCAGTTGGCGGCAGAGCATCTGGCGCTCCCGCACTGCCCGGTTGGAAGCTGAAGTTTTCCGGATTTGGGCACGACGGGCATGCCGGAGCGGGGACTTGTAGGTTCTCCGCAACTCCGCCAGGAAGCCCTGATAGTTGTTCCGCAAGGGGCTGTCGGGCTGCATGTGGGGGATGGCCCATTTCTCGGCCTCCCCGGTCAGGCGCGACACCAAGAAGGCCACCCGTTCGGCCTCACCGGGGAAGCGAGAGGCCTGAAAGATCATGAAGCGGTCCATCTGCATCAGGAAGCCCGCCAGCTGGCCGGGATCTCCAGAGAAGGGCTCTGGCAGGGAGGTGGGCGGGGTGGTCAGCGGCCGAGTGCCATTGGAGGCGATGGCGGAGACAGGCGGGGTGATCTGCAGGGCACCCGGGATGCGCGCCCGGGTACGAAGGAGGGTCAGCTCGGCCATCACGCTCTCCAGCAAGTTAGTGAGGTTGGCCTTCTCGGCCCGCAAGGTGGAGGCCTCCCTCCGCAGGGCCGAGTTGGTCAGGCGCAGGGTGGTCAGCGTGTCGATCACGTCCTCCATGGGGCCGCTGTCCGTCGAGGCTGAGGTCTCGGCTTTGGAGGTCTGGGGTTGGACCATGCTGGCCAGAGGTCAGCTGAAGGCCGCGACGGCGTGGGGGTCCAGGGGAGATCTGAGGTGGGGTAGTGGGTCACCCCAAATCGGAATCACCCCTCAACACGGCGCGGGCCTGGAGACAATCGGAGCGAGGGTGGGGTTCAGGCCACAGCCTGGCTGCTGAGATGGAGGCTGCGGGCTCGGGTCGAATGATCGAGGCCCGGGTCCAGCGCAGCGCCTGTCCTGGGGGCTGGGCCCTAAGGATGAAAAGGGTCATTTTAAGGAGGTTTTGGTGGCGGGACGGAGCCTGGCCGCTCTAAGCCCGGGCCGCTGTCCGGCCTGGGTGCAATGGCGACGGCGGAGGGAGGCATGGCGGCGGGGCCGGGGGCGTACCTGTCTCCGCAGCTCCGTCTGCCGCCTGCGGCGACCAAGATGGTCGGGCTGGTAGCGGGCGGTCCCAGCAGCTTCCAGGACCGGCGGGCTCGGCGGCGACAATGGCGTCGGAGGGCGAGCGGGTAGCGACGGTTTGGCCTTCAGCGGAAGCGGGTCGGGGTCGGGGTCGGAGTTGGGGTCCCGTGAGGCCGACTCACCGCGCGGCCTTTGTGCGGGCGGGGCCGGCGCGGCGGCGGCGGCGGCACCCGGACGGCCTCAAGCGCGCTCCGTTGGTTGCCATGGAGACCTACCGCTCCGGCTCGCGCCGCTACAGCCGAGGCCCGCCCAGGAAGTGTTGTTCCTAGCTCCGCCCCCACTCCGCGCAGCACCTCCTCCCCGAGCCTCTGTCCCAGCAGCCAATCAGCGATCACTTGGCTTATAATTCCTTTTCATTAGCATGGGCACTTTGCCTGGATTTATCCCAAGACTGCTTGCAAAGCTCTTCTTTGTAGTGTTTTAAATATTTTGTAAAAATAAAATTGACCTTCTATTGTAACTTATTAATTCAATGTACATATTCAGTGTAGTAAATTTTGGTAAAACATTTTGACAAGTCTAAAACTTATTCAAGTCCTTTCACAAAAAAATAGCCAATAGCCAATAGTAATATTTTCTGTGGTTCCAGCCATTCATCCTTCTACGATTTATTCTAATTCCAAATAATGATCTTTAATAATAATGTACGATATGGACGATTTAAAAAAAAATAAAATTGTGTGTGTGTGTGTGAATTGAATGAGGGTTTGCAGACAAGATCATCAGTTTTACGTTCAACAAATCATACAGTTTGTTTCATTTCAATGATTTCAATCCCTTCCAGACAACAATGATGATCCTGTTTCCTCCACATCATTTATATTTGCATTCCACCCACCTCCCCATCCCTTCTCACGTTTGTCCTCGGGTAAATATTACCCTTTTGATTTTGAATGGCTGATCATTCCATGGTAAGCAAACCTTACAACTGTTGTTGCCTGCCCTCCCCCCGCTCCCTCCATATAGCTATCTACTGCTTGGCTGAAAATTGGGCCAAGAGGTTGATTTCCTTTCCAGACCTGAAGGGCTGTCAAGGGCTATAGTGTCAGGTCCCTCCAAGCAGTAATCCTGGTTTGGGTTTTGTTTGAATTATTTTTGAGTTTTGTTCCACATTTCCTGCCTTTCTATCCAGGACCTTCTAATGTGTTCCCTTTCGACACAGTTGGTGGTAGTAGCTGGGCTCCATCTAGTTCTTCCGATCTTACAGTCATGGAGACTGATGTTCACATGTTCCATTAATGCACTGGGCTAATTGAGTCCAAGCATCTTCAATTCTCATCACTCTTCTTCACACGGGGAGACCAATAACTTCACCATTGACAGTTGCTCATGAGCTTTTAAGATCCCACAGACTACTCACCAAAGAAGGGTATAGAACATTGTCTTTGTGGACTATGTTATGTCAATTGACCATGGTGTCCCTTGAGACTATGGTCCTGAGTCCCCAGACCCATCAACTCATTGCCTTAAGATGTTTGATAATATCTCAGAAGTTTTCATGATTTTCCTTCTGTATGCTCCACCACATTCATAGTTGTGTTTGCAGGAAAGGTAAACACCCATCCTCTCTCAAATCTTCCCATACTCATTCAGGCTGTGTCTCTGTCTATGTCTCTAACCACAGAACCCTGTTGTTCCAATGTTGTGTATAAATCACTATTTACCTCAATCCTCTTTAGCCACTGCATACCTTCTTGTGTCACCTGTCTTCATCATTCTTCTGCCAACCTCCATCTTGTATATTGCCTTCCCCGTCACACAAGTTAACATATATCTTTCCAAAGAGTCACTGTAACAAAAGGAAATGGTTGATGTTCAACCATTTCAAGAGGTAGCATGTGATCAAGAGCCAAGATCCTGAAGGAAGAAGTCCAACGTGCATTGAAGGCATTGCCAAAGAACAAGGCACTGGGAATTGATGGAATACAAACTGAAATATTTCAACAAACGGATGAGGCACTGGAGGCACTCATTCATCTATGCCAAGAAATTTGGAAGACAACTTACCTGGCTAACTGACTGGAAGAGATCCATATTTGTGTCCATTCCAAAGAAAGGTGACCCAACGGAATACAGAAATCATTAGACAATATCATTGATATCCCACATAAGTAAAGTTTTACTAAAGGAAACACAAAAATGGCTGCAACCATATATTGACAGAGAACTTCCAGAGGTCCAAGCCAGATTCAGAACAGGATGTAGAACGAGGGATATCATTGCTCACATCATATGGATCTTGGCTAAAAGCAGAGAATACCAGAAAGATGTTTACCTGTGTTTTATTGACTGTGCAAAGGTTTTCAATTGTGTGGATCATGACAAGCTATGGACA